TTTTAGGTAGGCGTGGCTGACTCTTAACTTTTATAAAGAATATCTCTTTGGATTAGAGATTTTAGTCTTTGCAACTTTACAGATCTTCTTTATGCACCAAGAGCTTGTAACACTCCAAAGAGAAAGGAAAAATTGAAATCGCATCATATGACCCCTTTAATATTTCAACAGACCGGACACTCATAAATACACAGCTGAAATCAGGCGAATCTGATCTCTTCTGCTGAAGTGAACTGTAATAGAGAACATCTATCTTAACATAAAATCACATTCAAATAACTGCCATCCTTTTTTATAAGATACAAGTTATTTAATAGAGTGTCCATTCTAATTACATCCTGGATAAAGTTCTTCATGTCTGGATGTTTGTGTTTCATAATGGTAATGGAGTCTCTAGCCTTGATTCGGGATGGGGGGAAAATACTGTAAATAAGTCAGTCAGTAGCCTAAAAGTAGGCCTAAGTAAATAAATAAATAAATATAATTTAAAGGGGTCATATGATGCTTTTTTAAAGATCATTACTGCGGTTACTGAAACCACGCCTTCTTTCTTTGCGTGCACATTTGGGCGGCATTACGCAAATATTTCCACATAGTGAGGTAGATATGTGGGGGCGTGTTAGAACGAGCCGTTTTAGGGGGGTGTGGCAGAGTCTTAACTTTGATAAAGAATATCTCTTTGGTTTTGAGACTTTAGTCTTTGCAACTTCAGGGATCTTATCTATGCACAATCAGCTTGTAACACTCCAAAGAGAAAGGAAAACTTGAAATCGCATCATATGACCCCTTTAATTAAATACATCTGAAAAGTAGTCTAAATTGGTTTCTTAGTCAACAGTTATTGTGAATAATGGCCTGGTTTATACAGTACTTGATCCATCCACAAGACTGTTGAATAAGAATCTGGTGCAAAAACCAGGACTGTTCACACATGACGTTTTATTAAAAAAAAAAAAAAAAGAACTGTTTTTAATGTCTACCAATTATTCAAAATAATTATAGAAAAACATGCAATGATAACAAAAACAAAAAAAAGAATGTTTATATATTGACAAGTTTCATTTGGGGTTAAACTGTCTCTTTTATATTTGTAACTTATAGAATGTGAAACTTTCAGGCTAGTTATATAAGCCTGTTTTGCGTGTGTGTAAAATCTATTTGTGAATGTGTTTTCTCATGTTTGGCTATTTAGTCTTAACAATTATCCACTCTCAAAAAAAAAGAAAAGCATAACTGAGCCAATACCCTCTAAAAATTTACCTTTGTACCTTTTTTATCACAAAATAAAATGAGGGTCCTCAACGTCTAGATTATAATACATATGAGTTACAGATAATTGATGTAGACATACTGTAAAATAATTCCATTATAGCACCTCAGCACAAATGTTTATTTAAAAAAAAAAACATTTTTACAAAAAAAAAATTTCACACGCATACAAAGAATTGCTCCACAGTGATTAAAAAAATGGTCCAGTCTTGAATCAATAGAAGTCAATAAAAGTACAGTACACTTATAGTATTATTACAGTAAATCATCCTGGAGAAACATGGAAGCTAACATCATATTAACAGAATTGGAACTTCCATATTCAGTGTTTGGGTTATCTTTTGAGACTAACTGTGACAAATGTAAACCTTCATATTCCTAAACAGTAAGCTATATCTATTTATTCTAAAATATAATAATAATAATAATAATAATAATAATAATAATAATAAAATGCAAAAAAATTGTGTTACTCTACTCTTTTTTTAAGTGTTTTAATTAAGTGTTTTGAAGTGTTAAATATCTAAAAAAGTTATTTTTATATAAATTGTGTAAAACATACTGTATGAACACTGACCTACTGCAATGCTATTTTGAAATGAACCCATAAAGACTGAGATAATTATTAATGGTGGATAATTAATATTATTAAGAGATCTGTTAAAGAGTCCAGAAGGCAATCGAATTAAATAATGTGATGTATGGAATGTTCTGTTTTCTGATGAGGGTTCCAGAGGTTCAATTTACAACATCCAAAGTTTGGCATGTCTACCCAACTGAAAAACAAAAGCAAACAAAAAACAAGAAAATCATAGAAAGGTCTACTAATAAAACAAAAACTTACTACTTTTTTTTTTTTGTCTATATCATTTCCATATTTATACTTTTTATTATTAGCTATAATGGTTAGGATAGTGCTGAAGATTTTTATTATTTATTTATAAATGTATTATTATTATTATTTCATTTGATAAATATCTCCTCACCTTCCATGTGGAGTGATGTTGGTATGATATAGAAAGGGTCTCCAGCGTCTCGATCATACAAGTGTTGGAGCAGCACATTTTTAACCATCTTTAGACTCAGAGTGTAGTGTATCAACTCCTCATGTTCTAAAGGCATCATGAACTGGAGCTTAAACTGGGCTGTAGTGTCTCTGTATCGAAGCACAGTGTTAAAAAGTCATTTTGGTTAACTTTAACTTGATATAAATGAAATGTGTTTGCCTGGGCCACACCAAAAATGAGTGGACAAGACTTAAAGGCACACTACGGTATGGACAAGCAAATAGTAGTAAAATGTGTCAGTGGAGTGTAAAATTGACTCACTGGAGATTGTTTATGGTGACACTGTTAAAGTACCGCTCCAATGCAGGAGAAGAACTGTAGACTTCCATCAGCTGAGGGTTGATCATGGTGTATGGGAGAAACAAACATAGAGTGAATGAGTAATCATACATGTACATAGCAAAAAAAACAAAGCAGTGCTGTTTTTTTTTTTCATTCTACTCCTGGATGTTTAACTTATCTAAAACACGTGCTTGAGTCAGTCTACTACTGAGCTCTGTTAAATCAGATGTGTTAGATAAGCAAAACACCCCAGATATGCAGTGCTGTGCCACTAAGGAACAGCACTGAGAAGGAAACAAAAACCACACACACTACCACTGTGAAAGCAGAAGTGCAAGTTGTGGCGCATCCTGCTCAGGGCGGTTAGCTCACCCACAAAATGAACATTTCATCATTATTTACTCACCCTCAAGTTGTTCCAAATCTCTCGGACTTACTTTCTTCAGTGGATCACAAACGGTGGGTTTTTACAGAAACTCTTGACTTGTGCAGTAGCTTTAAACAGTGATGTCCAATGAAAGCATAGTTCTTTTGAGTCAGATTCTTTTCCACGAATAAAGAAAGTCATACAAGTTTGGAATGACATGAGGGTGAATAAATGACGTCAGGAGGGAATTTTCATGAGTGAACCATTTTTGGGTAAACTGTTCCTTTAAGACAGATGTCCTTAGTGACAATGATTCAAGGTTTGCATTGTCACAAAAAAATTATTTCAAATAAATGCTGCTCCTTTGAACTTTCTATTAATCAAAGAATTCTGGAAAAAAAGTATTATGGTTTCCAAAAAAGTATTAAGAGTTTTCAACATTGATAATAACAATTTTAAAAAATTCAGCAGCAAATCAGCATATTTGATTTCTGAAAGTATCAAGTGGCTCTGAAGATTGGAGTAATGATGCTGAAAATTCAGCTTTACATCACAGAAATAAATTACATTTGAAAACATATTCAAATAGAACTGTTTTTTTTTTTTTTATTCTATTATTTTACAATATTACCGTTTTTTCTGCTTCTAAACCCCGGAATGTCTTGCCTCATAGACACCCCATGTAAGTGTTGTAAATGCACTTTTTATTTGTTCATACAAACTGGGACGAGTCAAAATCATTTTCTGTGTCAATTGATAACATGTCAGATGCTGTCCATAGAGTCTAGCTTGTACTAAACATGGAACATTTATTTAGTTTCAGATTCAAGATTAGTCAGGGAAATCATGTGAAACATTTGAAAAAAAAAAAAAAGGTGAATATTTAATCTTTAAATCCATATTTATTTTTAAAAAATAAATGCATGTCTCTGACTTTCTTCACACGTCAGAGTTTGATCTGTTAAGTTACATAAAGCGTATGAATGGGTTTCTCAAAAATGCTTCACAGGTATCTACAATTTCTAGTATTGAATAGATCATTCTTGTTATTACCTGCTGTTCCAGCTCTATCATAGTCTCTTCATCCTGAGAGTCTGAAGTGAAATTGTTAGCATCCAGAGTAAAATTTCCTCTGAAGAAGCGTGCCACCACAAATGATGATTTGTCATATTTTTCATCCTCATCGTCATGAACAACTTTAAAACACAGAGGGTTGCAAAACAAAACTAAAATACAATCAGAATGTTATACAGGAATTACTTAAGAAACATATGCTGTAGTTCAGTCATCTTGGAAACAGCTGACATTTTGGCAAATGTATAGAGGAAGGCTCGTCTGATCTCATAATTTTAAACATCAGTATCAGAAGACCAAGCCAGATATGACTGGTGTCAGCTAAGAATTCAGGATGCACTTGGCCAAAAACGAAATGTTATTTAATAATCAATTAATTAATCAAATGTTTTTGATAAATCAACACTCACATAAAAATGAGTTGTACAATTACTAGACATGAGATATTTCAGTAAGTTGTATTGTTTCCTTCAACATACAGTACATTATGATGTTCATTTTGTGCTAGAACTACAATTAAAGAGAAAAAGATGCAATCTGTTATGCCACAATAAGAGTGTTAAACGTAAAAAAAAATTATTGTTTGTATTTTGTGATCAAATTGACAGAATTTGAAAGCTGAGACTTTGTTTCCTATTAAAAGTGCATAAAAACAGCAGAATGCATAGCCTAACAAATTGGACTGGTAACATTAGAAATAGCATTCACAGAAGACAAAGAATCTGAATGGAGCATCAGTACCTGCACACACAATAATTGAGATCCCAATAACCAGAGCAATGGCAATAAAGATTAGAAGTAGCAATGTCCATAGTTTGAGTTTCCACACCACCACCTCATTCAGTTCTCTCTTGACCCTCCGCAGCTCCCTTTGCCACTGCAAACACAAAGAGGTAGGGGCCTATGAAATCCGTTACATTTTTTCCCAGATTCTGTTTTATTTTTTTCCAAATTCCAATTTTCTGTTTTAATGTTTCTGGATTAAGGTTTTTTTTTTTTTCCTGTTTACATTTTTATAGACTCTGTTTTAATGGTTACATTACATTTTATTAATCAAAAAGCATGTCTAATTAGTAGAAATCATGAAACGTACGCAATTTAACAGCAGTTTATTAAAAATGTAACAAAAATAACATTTTTGAATTATTTACATATTTGAGGCACTATACGTTTTTATTTTTTTGTTTCTAAAAATTAATTTTATTTTTACCAAATTCTGTGTTTTCCATTAATTTTCTGGATTCCATTTTAATGTTTTCATTACATTTTAATAATCAAAAGCATCTCTAAATAATAGATTTTATTTAAAAAAAATGAATTTATTATTATTTTATTTCTTTTTTTCTTAGAAATACTTGTGTATTGTATTTAGTGTTGAGTATTTAGATTTTTCTGGTATTTTTTATTTTTTTTGTAAATATTCCTTAAAAATAATGTTTTAAGAATTTTACATTTACATTTACATTTAGTCATTTTGCAGACGCTTTTATCCAAAGTGACTTACAATTTGGGGATACATAAGGCGATTCTTCTTAAAGAGGCAAACAGATACAGGAAGTGCTTGTAATACCAAGTTTCTAGACATTGTTCAAATAAGTACAAGCTAGAAAGAGAAGGAATAAATAAAGAGAGAGAATTTTTTTTTATAATGATGATGAAGAAGTCAAGTAGCTTCGAAAGAGATGAGTTTTCAGCTGTCGCTTGAAAATTGTCAGGGATTCAGCATTCCGGAAACACATTTCATTACACCAAATACACAAAATAATGTTATTTTTAGCAGCATCATATGACCCCTTTAAAATGCTTATGAAGTGACTCTCAGAGCAGACCTAGAGATTATGTTCATGTACTCATATATTGAGGCGGCAGAGGCTGAAAACAACACAAGTGTCTCAGGTGCTTCAGTATGTGTGTAGTAAACAAAACCTTGCGTCTGTGCCATTCATTCACACAGAGACGCAGAACATGAAGGTGTCAGACTCTGTTCCGTGTTTTGTGGTTGTTTTGCTCCTCATGTGCCTTCCTTTCCCATGTTTAATTTGTCCCAGGTGTTTCCCATGATGTTTCATTGCTCCCAGGTGTGTCTCGTCATCCCCTCCTCCTGTGTGTGTATAAATAGTGTTCCCTGTGTGTGCTCCAGCGTCCGGTATTGTTCAGGTCATGTTCATGTCATGTCTCCATGTATTGCGTGAGTGTTCCGTGTTCCTTTGTGTAAATAAAAACCCAGTTGGATTGATGTACTCCTCGTCTCTCTCCGTTCCTTGCTCCTGACTCTGCTCAGCAGTGCGCCCGTGACAGAAGGATTCATATTTAAATGCATATTTTGCGGCTTAATATTCGCAGACACTAGTCCATATCACGTTTTGATTTAAGTGTACTGACATACTTTTGATTTATTCATCCAAAAATTGGCAAATTCAGTGACATTCCGCGTTATACAGTAAATTCCATTTTTATGACTGGATTCTGCGATTCCGTACGCGTTTTCCACATCACGGAAATCATAGGGCCCTACAGAGGAACAGCCACAAGGCTTTCTTACTGTACCTCAGCGTTGTTCAAAGCCAAGCTGTTTAAATTACAGTAGACATATTTGCTTATGTCAGTGGTTTCCAATCTTGGTCCTGGAGAAACCCCAGCATTACACATTTTAGATGTCTCCCTAATCAACACAACTGATTCAACTCATCAGCTCATTAGTAAAGACTCCAAGACCTCAAATGTGTTTGTCAGATAAGAGAGACATCAAAAATTGATTATTTCACATGTAGACATACTCCAAGTAATGGCTTGTTGCTTTTCAAATTTACCTTGGGTTGAGTTAGAGAGTCAATATCGACTCCATCCCCATGGAGGTGCTGTTCCCTATTGTTCTCAGTGACCTGAAAACACACAAATCCAGATAGACCAGTCAAACTAAACTGAAGGATCAGTTTGCAGCCTAAAAATCTGCATGCAGTACAAGGTGTCAGGGCAGACATAATAAGTGGAGCTTACTTGAATAACCTAATTATGAGTGAAACAACGTATTGTATAGATTAGTTTGTCAATTTTTGTATTTGTCAATCAGGGAAGCGTTTCCCAAAAGCAACTATGGTCACAAGTTCCGTCATTGTGAATGTATCTTAAAATAGTTTTGCTTTGGTTCAAAACCATTATAGTTTCATTCAATCAATTAATTTCTTCAGCCAATCAAAAGTTATGAGTAAGAGGCATATACCTGTGGTGTTACTAGAAGAGGGGACACTTCATTTCTCTCTGATCTTAGGTGGTCTGAGCAAGTGCCATTCCCTGGAATCACCTGTGAACATTTGTGACATAATTTATACGATATATACATACATTAAGAGAAAAACAGTTGCAGTGTATACTGTATATCTTTAGAAGAAATTCAAATATTGTGACAAAATACATTTTGTAGGGTGCCACAAATTTGTTACAATTTCCAAAGGGTGCCGCGACTAAAAAAAGGTTGGGAAACACTGCTTTAGACAACAGCCACTAACAAAACAGTAAAAACATTAAAATGGTACAGGCCAGGTGCAATGAAGAGGGTCCATAATAAAGAAAAGAGTACATCTTTTAAATGTGCCAAGTGTTCCAGGTGTGTGTGTGTGTGTGTGTGTGTATATAAATATATGTACAGTGTGTGTGTGTGTGTGTGTGTGTGTGTGTATATAGGAATTTGTCCAAAATTATATGTATTTTTATAAATATGACCAAGAACATAAAAGTGCCCATAGTCTAAGAATCACCCATATATAAATAATTATTAATAAATTATCATAAACAACTTTACATTTTTGAGAATCATACCACATGACATTTTACAACCTGGGCCAGTCTTGCTTTGTCATAAAAAGGCCAGATTATAAGATATTTCAAGAGACGTATTGACTTTTTATGGCCATGTACCATAGTAATCATATCCTTTTCAAAAGAACCACTAAACTAGATGAAGATCTGCTTGGCTAGGCTGGGAAACCAGTTTAAACCAGCGAATATCATCTTAAATTAGCTAAAACCAACAAACGAGGTTAGACTTTTCATCTGGGAACATGGTATTCTACCTTGGAGTACAATGTAGCCTAAATAAATATGAATATGGTAATCATTCAGGTCATGGCATGTATTTAGTTAAGCATTAAGGTACCACCACAGTACCTTTTGTATGGGATTAAAAAGTAAAAAAAAAAAAAAAAAGGTTTTCTTTCCATCGATTTTACGATCAAAACAAAACAACAATGGAAGACACTCAGGGTAAAACTTTAGTGTTCTCTTAGTAGAGATGGACGTTTGCGCACTTGCACAATCTTGAGTAACTAAACGTGTCAATGATCTGAAGACAAGATGAATAAAGGATACATTTTTGACAACTTACCTCAATCGTTTGGTCACTCGAGACGTTATTGTTGTCACAGACAACTTGAATGTGCTTCAACTCCAGCGCGTCGGTCATACTTCCATAGTCACTATCCCAACCTGCGGAAAGACCCGGAACTGAGGCGTGTAAAAGACGGGTTGCGAAAACGTTTCACCGGGTTTGTGTTGTGGTTAGTGAACAATGTTCCCAATTGTTACATTTAGCTAATAAAGGATAAATCATTTGATTCCAGGTTTCTTTTCAATGTGGATGCGGCTGATACTGATATACAGATGAAATCCAAGTGTTAAAGAGTGTCTCGTATTTCAGTTAGAATTTGACTAAATGAAACGAAACTGAAGTAAGCACACAGTGTTAGGCTACTTACAGGAACTGTGAGAAAAGGGCATTTGAAGGCAAATAATATAAAGAAGCAGGCTAACCCAATATATGGATATATGGGAAAACGTGTGCTTTTTACTGTGAGGTTGAGTCACCAAATATTTGGCACTTATTATGTCATTCCAACTAAACACAGTGTCAAGGCATCGCCCTTGTGGACACATAGGTGAACTGCATTTTGTGCACATTTAAAAGCACAGATTCATTCGCCTTCTCGCACTCGTGTCCGTTGAACACAAGAGGGGAGTTGCTTGAGTTTTCAGTTTTCAACAGAATGATATTTAACTGACAGCAGTGTTCTTACACCTTTGCCCAAATGAAATTCAAGCATTTTCAAGGTGCACTTTCAAGCTTTTACAGCACTTTAGAACTGTAAATGACATGTTTCCATACATATTTCTTCATGTTGAAGGGGTGGATTCTGGAATTCACTGCCACTTCAACATATATATCCTTTCGAGTGGTTTATTAAGTTACTATTAAGTAATTAAGTTACTATTAATTTATATTATTCTTTGGAATATTAAATGATTTGAAGGACGTCCCCATGTGAAACTTGAATTGTATAAAATGACATTTGCTCTTTCCATGGTTTGAGAAAAGCACCCAACACATTAAAACATACATTTACTCTTCTGACTTACTATGACAGCTTAGGTCACAAAGGTCATTAGGGCCTCTGAACTACATGACCAATTTACAGTTAAAGCATTTGCTTTATTTTTTATCTTAATATTGAAGAAAATAATGAAGAATATTGTTTGAAACATCTAGCTGAGTTGTTGGGGGGCAGTGGCCCCGTGTCAACAAGCTTGGCCCCCCTAAATTTGAATCACCAAACAAATTTGTGTGCAACGCAGCTTGTCCTGTGACTGTAATGAAAAAAAAAGTAATTAATTGTGCCAGCATAACTTTTATGTCAAGAGGAAATTACTCAAAGCGAGAACGCATGCAGAGACTACGTGCTTCAGAGAGCTTCATATATTCATCAGAGCTGCACCAAAAAAAAAAAAAAAAAAGATACAGGAAACGAAAATATTTAATTTCAGTCATGTTCACGTAGTAAGAAATAAACTATCCAAGTGTTAGTTAGTATCTGTCTGTGCAGGACTGGTCTCCAGGGAAATTCGTAACGGCACCCAGGATGGTATATACATATGGGCATCTTCCGTCACCCTGATGCATGGGTGGCAGATACACGTCTTGGGAGCGACACGTTGCGTGTGAACTCTAATCGCTTGTCACCTAAATAACCTCCAGAGATATGCTTTGAAGTTGACGCACATCTGTTTGTTTTTCTATGATTTAACCAATCAGAATAATTTTTACCGAAGTAATAACATCACTATACTCGGTAACACTTTACTTGAAGGGGTGTGCATAAGACTGACATGAATATGACATTATTTGACCTAACCCTAACCTAACCCTACCCCTACCCTTACCCCTAACCATAGCCCATAACAAAGACATCTCAAACAATGTCATCTTTGCATTAAAAATTACATAACTGAGTGAATGACACAAGAATGAATGGCATAAAAAACCTTCATATTCGTGACGTGTCATGTCATGATTATGTAGGTGTCATGTCAGTCTTATGCACACCCCTTCAAGTAAAGTGTAACCCTATACTCTAACAGAGGTTAGTGACCTCTGTTAGAGTATAATTACTGAAAATGCTACAGCCACATGTGCAGAATCGAGTGCATTTGGTTTCATTTTGAGCAAAAGGCGAAAGCAATTAGGCTTGTTGTAACTAAAAAGTGAACTATTCAGTAAGATAGCAAATTATTATGTCAAGCAATTCAAATGGGAGGGGGGGTAACCATGTTACCTGGTTTGCTCACGCCAGTCAGTGGAGTCAGTGATGCTTACATAATAAAGGAAAGCATCTGGTAAGTGTAAATAAAGCTCTTTATTCAGACTTATATGGGAAGTAGTAGATCATTGATGCAGTACAGTAGCTTTGCTGTCACAGTGATACATTTCAGGCATTTTATTTAATAATAAAGTATCTTTCCATAGCAGCAGTGGAGACTGCTGATAAATTTGGCTTTCGCAATATATCTGCCACTATGTTCTTTGTATTGATTATATGTATCTTGTTATTAAAAAACGGTGAATTTTAGTAACCATCAGAAAATAAAAGTGCAGTTAGTGACTCGTGATTTTGCAACTTTAACCACACCCTCTCCACAACCCTCTCAGCCAACTCAATGTCAGTGAACCTAAACACTCAAAATGACTGATAAATCATTTCTGAAGTGTTTATGAAGCATTTCTAGACAACTTTTGCTGTTTACAGAGCCTAGGACTATCACAGAGGCATGTCAGATATTTCAAATTAACCAACAGTCAATAAAACTACACCTATTTCAGTGATATTTATCACATGAATATTCAAACAGGGTGAAGGCTGGAAAAGTATTTTTAAAATGGAAAATGCTCTCCAAAGGTGAAAGCGTTCCTGTTCTCTGAACAGCAAATAAGAATCCAACATACGTTTATTTAAAAGAAAAAGCAAGTAAGATAATCAAGGCATATAAATAACTCAGACATACCATACAGAGTTTGAATAGAAACTCAGGGTTTGATATAATGGCTTCATTTTAGCTATAAGATCCCACCTGATCTCTTGAGAAAACATAACTGTTACACATTTTTGCAGTTGGTGGCTAATTTGTACAGTTTGATTTGTAAAAAAAATGTATGATTTTTTTTAAAGGTCCACCACTAAACCTAACCAGCAGTGGGGTGCAAGGAGATTGTACAAAAACATACAAATGAGATTATACAAATTCACCACCAATACTCCAAAACATAAAATTGCAACAAATTGCCATGAGTGTGCTGATAACATCTAACCCTTTGTGTACTATTTGCTTTAGCAATAAGTCCACAAATCCACAGTCCTAAAAGAGAAGAATTCAATCCTGGCATTCAGACTTTGTCATTCTTCATCTATACTGGAGTCTGTTCTCAGCGAATCCACATGAACATTTGTTAGAATCGCTATTAATTCAACTGTGGTCGGCAATAACCTTCTCACTATTCTAGCTTGCTAAATCAATGCTTATGTTGCGCAAAAAAAAAAAAAAACATTTTGATGACCATTACCCTGTTACTTCTATTCTGGGTTGTTCTCTGCATCCAGAACTTCCTTGTCTTCTTTCACTTCTGTCCTGTCCTCTTCTGTCTCTTCCTTGTCTTCTTCTTGAGCCTGTTTACAGTCAAAAGGTTCATATCCTCCCTTATTTAATTCCTCACTTCCTATATGGGTTACTTCGGTCCCCTCATTTTCTTGGGGTACATCTAAGTGCTCTGTCCCGTCTTTTTCCTGTTGTGGGCCATTGGTGGGTTGAACAGAGTCTGTTTTATCTTCAGTATCCTCCTGTGAAGGCCCACCAAATAATTCCCCTTCATCTCCATTCTGCTGTTGACTATCTGGTGCACATGGAGAGTCATTTCCCTCGTTCCATTTAGTCTCCTCACATGCTGACTTCCTGTGTTGTCGTGTGGGCAGCCGTCGCTTAAAAGACAGCCTAGCTCGACTCTGTGGAGTGAATACACAAAATCAGACTAGCTGAGTTTGTAAAAGTTGAATTAATTCATAACTTTAATAAACTACAGACTACAACTGACATATTTACTTTGTATCAAAACTTACTTACTTAGCCGCCATGCTACATAAGCAGCATGCTAACTGGACAGAACATCATAAATGAAACTGGAATTGATTAAATGAAAAGGAAAATGGCTGCAACACCATGTGCCACACAAATAGCCCTCGTCATATTTACCACACAGCAGAGTGTTGCTAAGCTAACAACACAAGGCTGTGATAAGCAAAAAAATAAACAACTATTGCGTAAAATCATGGATCTAACCAAATATTTATGATTTAGGGGGACCAAATGTAAAAGTGTATTCATCATTTATTGAAAAACAAATGGGTTTCACAGAAATCTGAAATTTAGGTGGTGATGTTGTGTATTCCTCTCAATATGATAAAATGGCCTTTTAATTACACTGAACTATTTTTATTTTAAAGCAAAATTATATTCAACATTCTTCTTGACTAATCGACCATCCCAGTTGAGCTTGTTGCAATGCATTCTGGGACCGGTTCCTGGGATGGATACTTGGTTCCAGTGGCGGTTGGTGGAAAATTTTCTAGGTTGGGTGCCACGTCCAACAATTTTAGCATATATCCCAGTATAGCAAAAAGGGAAAATATTGACTTGAAACATTTTAAATAAAGATCATTGTTTTAACAAGTTCAAGAGTTTGAGGATGATTCTCACAAAACAATATTTTCTTCTAGAATTTTTCAAGATAAATTAAAACATTAAAATTTCATAATTCACAATTTATTTATACAGTGCAACAGCAAAAACTGTGAGGGAAAAAAAATAAATGTCACATTTGTTTAGAGCATTTTCTATAACTACAAGTCAAGCTGCAATACCAAACAGGAGCACACGGAGTGTCATGGTTCGCTACTGTGAGGAGGACGGAGCGAGGAGACGCAGAGTCGAATTCAAACTTAGACTTTAATAATATCCAGGGAAACAGGAAAACACACATAGCAAGGGTTGACATTAACAATTCCAGACAAGGGAGAACAGAACAGGCTAGAACTCAAATAGGGCAGATAACGAGGGGCAGAGAGGTGAGGAGGATAACTAATAATGAGAAACACCTGGAACTAATAGAACTAAATGGGGACAGGAACAGGAAGGACCAAATAAGGGCATAAAGAAACAGGAGGCAGGAACACAGGGAAAACAAAACAAAAACCGACCATAAACGTGACACAGAGACGACAACAGACCACTATACCAGTCGCCTTAACCTGACTGTATATAAATGTAGACAGATCCATTCAGAATTATTAAACAGAGCAAAACACAAATTAAAAAGCAAATAAAAACATTCTGAATTTGTCGAATGTGGTGATCTTAAGGCGGCTCGACATCACCAGAGAACGGTTCCTCTGTCAGAGTGAGTACTGATGTCCATATGTATATAAATAGCACTGACCATTGCAAACTCCTAAAACATGCTTCTTCAGCAAGTGTCCATTATGACAAGTTCACACTACAGGATTTTAAGTCCGATTTGCAAGTCAACGAGCTCGCTGACAGCGGGCAGTGATCGCGGGAAAATCAGCGCTCGGCAATCTTTATGTGTGAATTACTCAACGATGCGTCAAAGAGGCTCGCTGACGCCAAACAAATATCTAGCATGCTAAATATCTGGAGCTGTCGACCAACTCGACAACACGTGGAATCAGGTGTCGCAACGAGCTACAGCCAATGAGAGAGCAAGGCATGGTTTGAGGTCAGCGGAAGAAGGCCCTGTCCCAAATGGAACACTTCATGTGCACTTGCAGTCTTACGGACTTACAATAGCCGCCGCGTGTCCGTTAAGTCCACGAGACGGTAGGGTGTCCCATTCGTCATTTTAGCATTGAGAAGGGTTCTCTCGAGCGCCCCCTTTGCGGCCGTTATGTGCCCTCGATCCGCACTTCTGCTGAGCCCGCACTGGGGCGAGCTCCGCAGCAGACTTCTACCCGACAGTCAAAGCGGCATTACGTCACGAAAGGGCGGACTAAGAGGAAGACCGCGAGGGTTTAGGGTGCCATTTGGGACAGGGCCGAAAAACAGCAGCACCAACATGGCTTTAAGAAGTTTGGACACAAGAAATGGAGCAAATTTTTTCAGAACAGATCATCACACAAACAGCTTGCAGCACTAATTTCTTCCTGACGTCCATTTACAAATAAACAACTCCTGTTTCACTTGTTGTTTTGCGTCATTCCCGTTCAACTTCTCACGTCTGTTTTCATGACAAAACATGGTTTGGGGACCGTGTAGAGTCGTTGGGTGACAGAGTTGTTGTCAGCCTGTGTAGTGTGTGACCCCCTGTTGTGGATCATTTACGTTGTGTGAATACTACAACGACTTCAAAACAGACAGCAAGTCATGTAGACTGAACAGCACAGCTATCTGCCGACGTTTAAAGTCGTGTAGTCTGAACTAGGGTTTATAAAACACTTGACAGACATGCAACCATACTGAAAGTGCTCGTGCAAAAAGCTATCAGAGAGCGCACATACACGGTTTGTCTATTTGCACACTAATAATAACAGACTTGCGCGTGTCTAATAATGTACGACTCCTGTATGTCACTGGAATAGTCTTTACCTCCATTTCAATCGTCATCCATCAAAACTTTACTGTTAAGTTACTGATTTGCTTTATTCAGGCCATCCAGACTAGTCCTGACTTCAGCTTAAAGATAATTAATAGAGGTATGTTTGTTCCCACCAATCGTTGTTACATTTTAAAAGTTACATTTATGAATGATGACGAAAGCAGATTAGTGCTAGTCCTCCCTCCCATTGCAGTCCCTGCAAATCGAAAAATAAATAAATAAATCTTTGTATGGAAGTCTATTCTCAGCCTGAGTGAAATCGTCCAAAAAGGGGCGGTACTCCACATAATGTGACTTGACGCTGATTGGACTATATATCCTGAGGCAGAACAAACAGTCCAGAACAGTGACAGCTAGCGTAACACTGTGGTTGAATGTAATAGAAAAAAATCCTCCCTTTCACACTTTGGTGGTGCGTCGCCCTATCGCCCTAATGAAGAAACCGCTCCTGCTTGGTTCCTTCCTGTGATGGTTTCTGCCTAGTTTGACATCTAGGTGGAAAGATTAGGTTTTGCGGACAGAGCTGTTGCTCTTGAATGACAGCACTCCAGTATTGGATTATACTAGATTTTAAGGATGTAAAACAAAAAAGAGGATTTAGTAGTTTTACGTTAAACCTGGACTCAAAGTAACCTTCGACAACCAACAGTACATTAGGCTATTTACAGAATGTAATATTAGCATACCGCATACAGCAGTTTAGGGGCATTTCTAGCCTTTCATGATCAAAATTGTCCCAGTATTTGAACGTTTTTGTATGCTGTTATGGATATGTTTAACTAAATTGGCTTTGCAGTGTCAAGCTGCTTCTTCGCTGACAAATGATTAAAAACACGTTTTATTTCCTACAGTGGATTGTACTCATCCTACATTGAATTAAATAACTCATCCAGCACTTATTTTGTTTTCTATCTTATTCATCATCCTGTCAGAAATAGCTGAAAATGATTCAGTTTGTGAGTCAACTGTCCAAATTAATTCAACTGAATTGCAAACAAATTCAGACCTTTCTGTGAATTCCCATTGCATTCCAGAATCAAAGAACATAGCTCGGCAGCTAAGTACTACTTTAACTAAATATAAACAATCATGTGTTATTGCTGCATTCTTTTGTGAATGCTCTTTGAAGAGGTACAGAGGGTATGATGCAGAAGTGGCCTGATTGGATTAGAGAGGACAGTCTCTATAGGCTTACACAGAGCTTAAGCCCACAATACTGGCTGCAAAGAGATGTGCACCTTGACCTTCATGCTGATATCATCAGATCCTCTTCTGCACACATCAGAGATTTTCTGAGAAACAGCAAGCCTGTAAAAGGTTACTGCAGAACTTTCAAGAGATCATGTTTTGCCACTCATATTAGTCTACAAAAAATACAGGGTTTTCAATGACAAATTAAAATTAAATGTCCACTTACAGACCAAAATATGTGATCACAGCCCTGCAGTACCAGTTATTATTTACTGATGCAACCCTAAACCCATCACAGTATATTTGGAATGCATATACTTACTGTAAAGTAAATTCTAAGAGAGTATCCCTCACACAATCCAAAAGTGTTGGTATTTTGCTGCAAAGCAATAGTTTTTTTTTTATTTATTTATATTTTATTTTATTTTTTATATTTTTATTATTTAAATTGTATTGATATTTTTATATATATATTCAAAAAGCATTACTACAGAGCTCCTAAGGGGACATGCTGATAGAAACAAAAATAAGTTGGGAGGAAAAATTATATTTTAGTGCATTTTTCTGTGTTACTCTGAGAAACTTTCTCTTGCAGAAGTATTGCATTCTCTTACAAAACATTTGCATTTTCTTGCAAAAATATTGCATTCCCCCAAGAAACTTTCCATTCTCCTCCCACCTCATTATTTCCATCACAAAAGTTTTGTGAGCAAATGCAAAGTTTCTTGGGGAAATGCAAAAGTTTTGTGAGAGAATGCAAAAACACTGAAAAATAATTTTTCCTCCCATCTCATTTTTATTTACATTTCCACTGTTAAGAAGAAAGCAATTTGTTACTTATTAGAGTAAATATTTTATACCGAATGTAAATGATTGTCACTTCTTTATCAGAATCAAATCTTCGCTCTAAAGGACAAGTTTGTGTCACATTGACATTACAGTAAGTTCCCAAACAAGAGTAAAAAATATAAATATACATTTTGGACAAAATGTATTTTGGAAAGCGATATATTTATAAGCTAGTTGACCTTGTTGATGCTTGGCTGTGGAGTACCCTCGACCGGCTGCTCGAAGCTAACCGGCGCCTCATCTTCACAGGACAGCTGAGTGGGCTGCAGGGTGGAGCTCAGGGAGCTGCAGGGGCTGATGGGACTGCAGGCTGTGGGCGGCTGTTTGGACTCTGGACTTTTGGGTGGGGAGAGCAGGACAGTTGGAGAGAGAGCAAGATTGGCCTTAAAGAGAGAAGGAAAGAATGTTTTAAGGCTCCTGCATAATGTTCTTGAATAGAGACAAAACTAGTGGTCAAATTGTTTTTAAATGCTATCTAGAGAACAGAGCAGATGATATAATGCACATATTAATCTAATGCAACTTACTGATGATGCGATGTACATAAAATTGTGGGAGTTAAATTAACAATTATTTTACTTTAAATATGTATTTAGTGGCACACAGGGCAGTGTGTTGTTCAAGACATCCTGTATAAGGAACTGTTGTGCTCAAGGCCGGATTATTATGGTTATAACTAAAACCAACCAACCAACCATAAATAAATAAAAATGTTGTTACATAAAATAAAATATTTCAGCTAGTTTCTAAGGCAAGGCAACATTTCTCATTTTTGTTCAGTTTAACTTGAATTTCTAAAATACCTGAAACTAAATATACTAAAACTAATAAATATAAATAAATAAACACTCATTAATAAAAATGACAAACTAACAAAAATGACAAAATTACTAAAACTACCTAAAATAAAGTGAAAAAAAACATATTAGAGTTTAGAATTTAGAAAAAAAAAAATCATTTAGAATAATAACAAAAACTATAATAGTATATCAATGATAGTAAAATAACACTGGCTCTAGGGTAGTCAGGTTTGAGCCTGACCTGGGTCATGTAACCTATTCTCTCTCTCACACACCGATTTCCTGTCAAAATCCCATTTTCCTATATACTAAAAGCAAAAAGCCAATTTATAAAATAAAAACAAGTAATTAATCAAACATATTTGACACAATTGTTAATAGAAACATAATATTTCAAAATGGAAATATAAAATGTAATGTTATACAAGTAAAAATTATTTTTAAAAGTGAATACAATTTAAAAACGATCATAAAATGTATTTAATTTAATAAAATAAGCTATTAATAGCAAGTGAATTTTTTAATAAAAATAGAAAATGCAATATACTTAATAAGTGTTAAAATATTTTAATGAATAAAAATACATTAAGTAGTTAACATTAAAATACATAAAAAATTTAAAAAGGTATTGCTTTTAAATGGAAATTAAAAGACAAGTTCATCACCATTCACAGTAGTACTGTATCTAGGTTCTTAAAATCATCTTTAACTTGACTACCTGTGTCTTACCCATGGTTAACCTCTGCCATAGGCTGCTGGATACAGATTAGGCTTAGTTTGAATTCCACCAGTTCTGCCTAAAATAAATCAGCCTAATCTCAACAAACAAAAAAGGCAACAAATGATCTAAATCTAGTGAGCCGTTGACATTGGATGACATGTATATATATATATATATATATATACACACCTCAAGAAACAGCAACTTAAAACAACTAAAAAAGCTTGATTGAGTTCCTCTTGCATTGTAAATTGAAAGATGTTGTTCCGAAATAAATATCTCCTACCTGTACAGGAGAGAACAAGAGAGAGAAACGGCAACCCTTTTGTCCCATGACTGCCTGATAGCTGCTAAGTCAAGTCTATTACAGGTCAGCACTCAGCAACTGTGGCTAAGCTGTTATCTCATTAGAGTCCTTGCCTGAACCAATTGGAGGAGCGAGTGCAGACCTGTTCCGTTTATGAGCAGACGTATCCCATGGACCAATGACAGTTCAAACTAACTAGACATCTCTCGTGACAGATATCTGGGGTTCAGTTGCAGGTATTGACCTTGCAGGAGTACAATATAAACTCTAGGTGGCAGAAGAGTTGTATTAAAAAACCTTGGCTTTGTTTGCAGAGGAATATCTTTTACTGCAAGCTGCACATAACACTGTATACTGCCTACTGGTTTTAAGTAAAAGTGTGTCTAGTTTTTACATTTTGTCAGTTTCATAAAATAATGACTAAAAGAAGATGATAAAAAAATCTTGGTGGATATTATTATGAAGTGAAGTGAAGTGACATGTGGCCAAGTATGGTGACCCATACTCGGAATTAGTGCTCTGCATTTATCCCATCCAAAGTGCACACACACAGCAGTGAACACACACACACCGTGAACACACACCCGGAGCAGTGGGCAGCCATTTTTTGCTGCGGCGCCCGGGGAGCAGTTGGGGGTTCGGTGCCTTGCTCAAGGGCACCTCAGTCGTGGTATTGAAGGTGGGAGAGAGCGCTGTACATTCACTCCCCCCACCTACAATCCCTGCCGGTACGAGACTCTCTAACCATTAGGCCATGACTTCCCCAATATTCCCCAACATTATTTTTTATGTTGCATATGCAATATGCATACTACTGTATGTATAGTACACATACTATATACTGCATAAATATCAAGAGTGTTCTTATAGCTTGCCATTCTGAACATTTTAGACCATTGTGTGGTCTTGTTTTTGATATGCCCTTGCAATAGCACATTTTCAACACTGGGTGACAGGAGAGTTTCATAAAAGTAGCAGCAGGTTCAACAGGTAGACTTGCAAAATGCTATGAGTAAGATGTTGGTGTTAAAAATAGACAATAAATTGGCCTTTACAAAAAAAAGAGGAGAATATTTCAATTAATGCTGCAGGAAGCATATGCATTTAAAATGTACTGAAAACTCAATTCCGTTTCAGCTAATAGTTTCACGACACAACACATTTCCTGTTTCCTGAATGAAAGTTCACTTCGGAAATGATATGTTAAATTGATAAGCAACCTCACAAACCTGCAAGGTCAGCATCTTTCAAATGCAAATATATTTTTATTCATTACATTTATATAGCGCTTTTCTAGGCACTCAAAGCGCTTTACATTGTCAGTGGGTATCTCCTCATTCACCACCAGTGTGCAGCATCCACCTGGATGATGCGACGGCAGCCATAGTGCCAGAACGCCCACCACACACCAGCTTACTGGTGGAGAGGAGACAGAGTGATGAAGCCAATCAGCAGATATGGGGATTGTTAGGAGGCCATGATGGTCAGAGGCCAATGGGCAAATTTGGCCAGGATGCCAAGGTCACACCTCTACTCTTTTCGAAAGACATCCTGGGATTTTTAATGACCACAGAGAGTCAGGACCTCGGTTTAACGTCTCATCCGAAGGACGGTGCTTGTTGACAGTATAGTGTCCCCGTCACTATACTGGGGCGTTAGGACCCACACAGACCACAGGGTGAGCACCCCCTGCTGGCCTCACTAACACCTCTTCCAGCAGCAACCTAGTTTTCCCAGGAGGTCTCCCATCCAGGTACTGACCAGGCTCAGCCCTGCTTAGCTTCAGTGGGTAACCAGTCTTGGGCTACAGGGTGATATGGCTGCCGGACGGAAATATATGGTAAATGCTTGTGCAAACAGCTGGCTGAAACTAAGATCTTGTGTGAAGTGGATAATCAAGGAAATCTCACCTGTAGTTTTTCAATGAGGGGTGAGCTCTTTATCTTCAACTTAGGAGGATGAGGACAAATGAACACCTTCTGCACCAGAAAAAAAAAATGATTACAAATGGCATTAAGATATAACAAGATGTTTTAACATTAATCGATTATTGATATTTATAACTCATAGTAACTGATGTGTTGACAGTTACATGCTCACCTCTTCATGTTCTTCATCTTTTTGGTTGTTTATCACCAGAGAACATGGGGGTCTTCTCATAGATTTCACCTGCAATTCAGTACCATACAGGTTATAATATACATGATCACTAGTGGGACTGAAAATAGAGAATGTACATTCTCCACTGACAAGGCCATGTAATTGACACTAGGTGGAATCACCACTTTTGTAAACAACAGAGCTCCTCAGTCTTGACAACATTGGCACATATTGCTTCAGAACCCTTCCTCGATGTTTGTTTTGCCCAAACTATTTCAGTACCATTTAAAAATGAAGAAAAACAAACATAATTTGCATTAGGAACAACCAATAAGAGACTAACAGAAAGACGTCAGATGTTCCACTACCTCCATGCTTCCTGGCATTGGTGGTGCATGACCTTTGAGTTTTCCAGCCAGCTGAGCCACTGACGACTTGACTGGCGCATCCTCCTGCAAACAGAAAAGCAGATTCCCTGACTGTTTGTTTCACTCAGCGGTGTTGCTGTTGGATGTTCTTTTCTGATGGACCACAGTATCCTGATCTCACTTTATTGACATGGGATCCCACAGCGCCTGTAGTGGAGCTCAGACCACCAAACACAAGCGAGGAAGCTTGCGGGGGGGAAGTGCACACCCTACTGCTCATTTTACACATGGGCGTCTTTTTTTGGGCCCATTACATAAGACAAGCATGATGCAATAATGGGATCAAAATTCAGCATGCTCTTGTTTTTACTAGACATGTTTTCTTACTTAAGAACAACTGGAAAATGAAAGACCTTTCAAAAGGAAGAACTGGTTACATCAGAACCACAGAAAGGGGGGTGGTGGAGAGGCTGACTATACTTGGAAGAGCACATTACCACTCTATTTCTGCAGTATGTAATATGTATACTGTGTGCAGTATCTGAAAGTACAATTAGCTGTGATTTCTATTACGAAATCAGATTATTTTCATTTTTAATCAGACTGGCAAGATTTTTTTTCACAAAACAACCAGAGACCAGAGTTTGAATCCAGGAGTCATGTCCCATTTCCACTTTCTCTCTCTTCCTCCACCTTCCTTTGAGTTCTCCACTTTTCTATATAATAAAGGCAAAAATATATGTGTAAATCCAACAATAAACAAATTTTTCTTGGCCTATATCAATTATTTATCAGTTTTATATCACCCATCGGCCACACTCCTCTCTGGTATGGAAGCCTGTTTCCACCTCAGAGCAAAAAATAAAAAATATGGGGAAATAAAGTTTAAAGTAAGATTTCACAAATGAATTCAAATGATCAAAATGTGAGAAATGTAGTCAAAATGAGAAATTATCAGCTGTGAGATATAAATGTCACATGTATGGTCTTTGTGTTTTTGGTTTTGTCTTTAGTGCCTTGTTGTCTGACCCAGTTTCCATAGTGTGCATGTGATTATTGTATTTAGTTCACCTGTTGTCTATTAATTAGCCTATTAGTCCTCATTTGGTTTAGTACAGGGGTGTCAAACTCAATTCCTGGAGGGCCAGAGCCCTGCAAAATTTAGATTCAACCCTAATTAAACACACCTTATTCAACTAATCAAGTCCTTCAGGCTTATATGAAAACTACATGGTATGTGTGTTGTAGCAGGGTTGAACAAAACTCTGCAGGGCTCCGGCCCTCCAGGATTTGAGTTTGACACCCGTTTTTGTACTTAAAGTCCCATGTTTCCTGACTTCGGTGTCCTGTCTTAACATCGTGCTTGGATGTGTTGCTAGCTTGTTTCTCTGTTTCCCTACGTTATTTGGATTAAAGACTATTATTGTTATTCCGTCTTTGTGAGTACTCTGTTTAGCACATTCCGTGACAGAAGACAGGACTGCTAACAGTGTTTGTTTTGCGGCATTTTCTTTTTTTGTTTTTTCCCTCCATCACCATGGACCTTCCTGCAGTCCAATTGTTGTGCCTGGAGCAGAGGGATCACTCCCTGGAAATCCACACCACGGACTTCATAGAGCTGGGAAATCCGACGCACTACCCAGACCGCTCGTTTTGCGTGTTTTACATCTCAAGTCTTAGCTAGCAGTCTAGAGCAAACCTGCCAGGGAGAGGTACTTAGGATGATTTCGTCGCATGTGTGGAGTGGGTGCTGGTTAATAACTCAGCCTCCATCACCATGGACCTTCCTGCAGTCCAATTGTTGTGCCTGGAGCAGAGGGATCACTCCCTGGAAATCCACACCACGGACTTAATAGAGCTGGGAAATCCGACGCACTACCCAGACCGCTCGTTTTGCGTTTTTTACATCTCAAGTCTTAGCGAGCAGTCTAGAGCAAACCTGCCAGGGAGAGGTCCTTAGGATGATTTCGTCACATGTGTGGAGTGGATGCTGGTTAATAACTCAGCATTCACCATCGGCCTTGCAGAGCCTACGGAGCCAGTCAGCCAACACCCAGCCAGACGGAGCTACAGCCTGATTCCACTGCAGAAACGGAGCCTGCGCCTGCCACGGAGAAAGAGCCAGCGAGCCCTGCTGAGCCATGTTCCGCCTTGGAGCCTGAGCCCAATTTAATGTCTGACCAGGTGTGTGAGTCGGCAACAATGCCCGTCGCCGAGTGAGTACTTGTGGAGTTTGAGGGCATGGATGGAAGTCCCGCCCACACTGCCACCGCTGCATGTGAGGTGAATGTGGACCCTGGGAATTGGACTATAATGAGGAGGTAAATTCCCTTTTTCTTCTGCCCCCGTTCAGCCAGAAACCTCTAGTGCTCCTGCTGATTCCGCCCAGCCCAGAAACTCCTGCGTCTCCTATGGTTCCTCCTAACTCCTGCTCTCCTGTGTTCCCACCCAGCCTCCCTCTCCTGCCTCCTCTCCAAAAAGCAGTCAGTTCCTTAGCCCTGCCTCAACTGATTCGTGTCAGCGCCTTAAGCTCATCCTCAGTCAGCGCCATCCGGGCACTCTGATTCACCTCAGGCCTTCCAGTCCCCTGCATCGCCTTGGCATGAGGATACCCTGTCTCCGCCTCCAGCCACAGAGCCCCAGACTCCACCTCGGTCCTCCAACCCATCGGCTCCGCCTTGGCCAAATGCTCGCTCAGCTCCACCATGGCCCATAATCCCACCAGCTCCACCAGGCTCCCCCGTCCCACCAGCTTCACCTTGGTCAGACGATTCCACCTCAGGATTATGGGCTGCCAGTTGCACCTCTGCCCTTTATCCCTTCAGCTCCACCGGGCTCCTCCTTCCCTCCAGCTCCACCGTTGTCCTCGGTTGCACTGGCTCCGCAGTGGTCTTCCAGATCCACATCTCAGAGTCCCTTGAGTCCCAGTCCCTTGAGCCATGAGCTCCACCTTGGCCCTCCGGACCTTCTGTGTCACCCTGGCTCCGTGTCTCCTCGGCTCCATCTTGGCCAGCCTCGTCACAGGAGATCGTTCCTCTGGTTACATCTCCACCATGGCTCCTCCCTCCTGTGACTCCGCCGTGGAACTCCATGCTGACTGTGGCCTGGGTATACATCTGGCTTCTCTTGCTCCTGGCTTCCCCATGGCTCCTCCCACCCTCCAGTCCCCCATGGACTTTTATTTTGGACTTGGTTTTGTTTGACACCTCTTCTATTCCTCGCCCTCTTCCAGAACTCCCTCCCTCCCTCCCTCCTCTGGACTGTCTAAGGCGCGAGGACGCGCCTTCCCGGGAATTTTCCCTAAAAATGACTTGTAAAATCAATCAGTTGGTAGTGCAACTGAAGCAAACAATCAACTATGAGTGGCAAGGACTGTCAAAAGATCTCCGGGATAAAGTTGTGGACAGGCGCAAGTCAGGAGATGTCACAGCAAAATCCCCAGAGTTAAATCAACTCGGGTTTTCTTTACTAATGCTCAATCATTACTTAATTAATCACTTAATTATCCCATTAACTTTAACTCGGCTTCAGTGTTACTTTAACACTCTGTAGACTGGGACAATATGTACTCTGAGCAGAGCTGATTTAACTCTGGGGATTTTGCTGTGTACAAAAGGCTTTATCAATGCCTAGAAGCCCAGTGAAGTCTATTATTAAGAAGTGGAAGGTATTTGGTACAACACAGACCATCCCTGGATCAGGACGTCGCTCCAAACTGGATGAAATAGTCAGGAGGAACTGGTCAGAGAGGCTACCAAGAGGCCTACAGCCATTCTGAAGCAGTTGCAGGAATTTATGACAAAGACTGATCATTGTGTGCATGTGACAACAATATCACAAATTCTCCACAAATGTGGCTTGTATGGGAGGGTTGCTAGAAAAAAAGCCACTCCCCAAAAAGGCCACATACAGTCATGACTGAGCTTTGACAAAACGCACTTTGAAGATTCTGAGGCAGATGTGACTAAAATTGAATTATTTGGCCTCAACACCAAACGATATGTCTGGCGAAAGTCCAATACAGCTCACCATCCAAATAACACCGCTCCTACAGTAAAGTATGGAGGTGGTAATATACTGTTATGGGGTTGTTTCTCTGCAGCAGGGACTGGAGCACTTGTCAGGATAGAAGGAAAAATGGATGGGGCAAAATACCGTCAAATTCTTGAGGAAAATCTGCTGCCCTCTGCCAGAAAGTTGTCAATGGGAAAAAGGTTTACTTTCAAAATGACAATGACCCAAAAGACCAAAAGAACACAGCAAAACTGACCACACAGTGGTTGAAGGAGAAAAAGATGAATGTCCTTGCATGGCCTAGTCAAAGCCCAGACTTGAAGACTGCAGTCCACAAACTGTCACCATCAGATTTAACTGAACTTGAGCAGTTCTGCAAAGGAGAGTGGGCAAATATTGCAAAGTCTAGATGTGTAAAGTTAGTAGAGACATATCCCAACAGACTAAAGGCTGTAATTAAAGCAAAAGGTGGTTCAACAAAATACTGACATAAGTGGGTGATCCTTTTTCCAACACAGTGATTCTGTTTTTGTTTTGTTTTTAAATTTTTTGTTTGTTTGTTTTTTACATGTTGGTGTTATATCTTTCACTTGGATGCTATATGTTGCACTGAGTAAACACAGCTGGATAAAACAAAAACTGCGTCCATCTTCATTTCAGGCTGCAAAGCAACAAAATGTGATTATTTTTGAAGGGGGTGATTCTTTTCTATACCCACTGTATATACATTTGTGATTGAGAGATATAAAGCTGCAGTTATGAGAAAAAAGTTGAATTTGTGTGATATCAATTTGTTTTTGAAAGATATAAAGCACAATTGTGAGATATAACATGGTAATAGTAAGAAATAAGTTGCAATTGTGAGATATAAAGTCCCAATTAGGAAATATACATTTGTGAATGAGAGCTATAAAGTTGCAGTTAGAGAAAAGTTAGTAGTATGCAGCACACTAGTTGTATATTCTGGACACAGCAGCTGTTTTGTGTCGAAGAACAAAGATGGGTGTACTCCGAGTTTATCAGCAGCACAGCTGACCAGCATCACACTTACTGCCTGGGGGATTCTATCT